TGGGGTAATCGGGATGGGTGTGTCAGAGGCAGTGCGGTTGGCGCAGGATAGAGCAGGGTTTAGGGCTGTTGTGCATAGGGTCGCTATGAGTCGCAAATGACTCGACGGCACATAACAACAAACAACAGCAACCCAATATTTCTATAAATGTGAATTACATACCTAAGTATTTGAGACATTTTATTTATACCTAATTATCAGAAAGCTCTATTACTTAGAAACACTGTGGTAATAATGGAAAAGTCCTCTGTAAGATGATTCAACATACAAGAGAATACTCATGGCAGAAAACATTCATTGTATGGTAGTAATTGTGAAATGATAAATTTAATTCAGACAGTTTGCTTCCTTTTTTTAACAGAATTTGTACAGGAAAGAGCCTCAGTGAAAGCAAAGATGTGAAAGAGAAACTTTATGAATGTAAGGATCTTGGAAAATCTTGTTGCTTTTCCTCACCCCTCTCTAAACCTGAAAGACCTCACCCTGGAGAGAGGCCTCATGAATGTAAGGAATGTGGGAAGACTTTTAGTTACCACTCTCGCCTCACTAGACATACAAAAACTCATAGAGGACAGAAGCTTTTTGAATGTGAGGAATGCGGGAAAGCCTTTAGTCGTTTCTCAGTGCTGGCTACCCATATACGAACTCACAGCGGAGAGAAGCCTTATGAATGTAAGGAATGTGGGAAAACCTTTAGTCGTTCCTCCAACCTCAGTAGACACAGAAGAACCCACAGTGGAGAGAGGGATTATGAATGTAAGGAATGTGGGAAAGCCTTTAGTTTGTCTTCACACCTCAGTAGACATATGCGAACTCACAGTGGAGAGAAACCTTATGAATGTAAGGAATGTGGGAAAACTTTCAATAGTTCTTCCTCCCTCACAACCCATGTACGGATTCACAGTGGTGAGAGGCCTTATGAGTGTAAGGAGTGTGGGAAAGCATTTACTCATTCCTCAACCCTCACTACACACCTAAGATCTCATAGTGGAGAGAGGCCTTATGTGTGTAAGGAGTGTGGGAAAGCCTTTGTTTCCTCCTCAGCTCTTACTATGCATTTACGGATTCACAGTGGAGAGAAGCCTTACAAATGTAAAGAGTGTGGAAAAGCCTTTAGTATTCCTTCATCTCTCACTATACACATACGCTCACACAGTGGAGAGAGGCCATTTGAATGTAAGGAATGTGGGAAAGCCTTTAGTCGGTCTTCACACCTCAGAACCCATGTGAAAACACATAGTGAAGAGAGACCTTATATATGTAAAGCATGTGGGAAAGCTTTTAAGCATTCTACACAACTGAATAGACATGTAAGAGGTCACAGCAGAGAGAAGACTTATAAATTTGAGGATTATGGGTAAGTCTTTAGTCAGTTCTCAGACCTCATTGACTGTATCTAGCAACGGTCTTGTAATTATGACTAAATAAATGCATAGCATTGTGTAAATAAGATATATGAAATTGTTGTAGGGAATTGGTCAGTTTGGTCATCTCACTAGATTTCAGGGTTTTTTTAACTGCTATCCTAGGTTTTGTTGTTTTGGGTTGGGTTTTTTTTTCTCTTTTTTTAAAAATGCTATCCTAGGGAGAGCTCTGGTGGCCTAGTGGCAAGATGCTGAGCTGCAATCCCAAAGGCATGTGGTTTGAGGCCACCAGCTGCTCCAAGGGAGAAGGATGGGCAGTCTCCTCCTGTGCGATTAAATACTCCTGAAAACCCACCAGAGGGTCAGCAATGGATCAGTTCAGACTTGATGATACACAACAACAACAACAAGGTCAAAGAGAAGGACGTTGAAGATTTTGGAGATCTGGTGGCCTAGTGGTAAGAAGCTGCACTGCAATCCTGACAGCATTTGGTTTGAGGTCACTAGCCACTCCACAGGAGAGAGATGGACAATCTCCTCCTGTGTGGTTAACTCCCTCAGAAAGCCCACCATAGGGTCAGCTATGGATCAGTTCCGACTTGATGGTATACAAAAACAACAACATCCTAGGGAGAGGTAGAAAGGTATCACTAATGTCAAGAAGACAGGCCAGGAGTGGATGTGTCCTTTGGACCTGGGTCCCTGCACTAAGCACCTTCTAAACTCAGGGGATAGAGAGTTTAACTCTCTAGGAGGGATAGTTAAGATAGAGAAGTGACAGTAAGCACACCCAAAAATGGTGACAGTAGAACTGGGATACCAGTTCAAGACTATAATGGGCATCCTGCCCTGTGGAGCAAAGTCACTACAGTGAGCTTATTGAATGAGAGAATAAATTTGGTTAGGAAGGTCATTGGCAGATTAGGGGACCTCCAGGCACTTAATTGGATAGCTTAAGAGTTAGAACACTTGTCTGAGCACACTACAGTCTGTTGGCAGAGGCAGACCCAAATAGGGCCCAGCGTTATCAACAAGATTCTGACTAGGGATCAGTGGCCAAGGTCAGTAAGAAGCTGCCCTGATCAAAGAACTCTGTCTTTTGTTGTTCCTGTTACCTCATGTTAATAACAATCCTGAATTGTTACTTTCTTAATAAACCTTGTTAATCATAAGTATGACCAGTGAGTGTTATGTCATCAATGTAATGAATTCTCAAATCCAGCCTAGTGGAGAGTGCCATGAGAGGGTCAGTTACTGCAGACATGGTAAAAAGGTTGAAGGATGTGAGTACATTTGACATCCACCTCTTATGAACCAATTTTGGGCCAATGATGATAGTGTATCCTTTCCATTCACTAGTTAGATAATGGTTTTGATCCTACTATGTTTACAGAAGTCTTATGAATGGTAGAGAATGTAGAAAGGTTTTTAGTTGGTCCTCATTCCTCACTTATCAAAGAAGAGTTTACAGTGTGGAGTGGCCTAATGAGGATAAGGAATGTCAGAAAGGGTTAGTCTCCATACCTTACAACCATACAACACTTTACAGTGGAGAGAAGCCTAAGGTGTGTATGCATGTGGGGAGCCTGTAGTTACTGTTGTTAGGTGCTGTTGATTTCATCCAACTCTTAGCAAACCTGTTAACAGCACCTCTGAACCCTGCCCTATCTTGTGCTGTCATCACTATCTCCAACATAATTGAACCCATTGTTCCAGTTCAGTTCCAGGGTATTGAGGGTCTTCCTCTCTTAGACTGACCCTCCAAGTTTCTAAGTATAATGTCCTTCTTAAAGGACTTGCCCTGTTTAACAACATGCCCAACACATGTGAGGCAAAGTTTCACCGTTCTTGCCTTCAAGTAGCAGCCTGGTTTCATTTTCTCTAAGACAGACCGGTTTATTCTCTTGGCAGTCTGTCGGATATTCAGTACTATACTCCAAAAGCAGAAGACTGTTGTCTTTGATTTTCCACAGCAAGTTCTTCAAGTCCTCTTCACTTTTAGCAAGCAAAAAACACAGGTTATTGAGGAGTCTTCTGCCAATTCTAATGCCACATTTTTCATAAAATTCAGCCTCTCAAATAATTTGTTCAACATACAGATTGAATAAGTATAGAGAAAGGATACTGCCCTGATGCACACTTTTTTTTCTTTTAAACCAGTGAACCCTTGTTCTGTTCAGATAATAGACTCTTGGTCTAGGTACAGGTTTTGTGTGGGCCAAATTAAGTGTTCTGTGATTCCTATCCTTCTCAATGGTACCCATAATTTGTGATCCACATGGTTAATAAAACACAGATAAATCCCTTTCTGGTATTCTCTGCTTTCTGCCAGGATCTGTCTGACATCAGCATTGATAACCCTCGTGCCACTGCCTCCTCTAAATCAGCTTGCATTTTTGGCAGTTCTGTGTCAATGGGATGCTCCAGCAGTTTTAGTTAGTCTTCACTCTATGTACGGACAGTGCTCAGGCTGTTCATTCATAGGGTCACTATGAGTCGTCTACGACTTGACGGCATTAAACAACAACAACTTACAGTGGATAGGGGCCTTATGTATATAGGAAATGAAGGAAACCCATCAATTCTTTTTCAGCCTTTAGGAGACATGTGACTGTACCTTGGTACACTAGAAAGGAACATATGTTTAAGTAAAGTTGGAACACTTTTTGTAATCTCTCATCTTTTATTTTTCAAGACCCCGAACCATATAGTGTAAGGAAAGGGATCTGGAACAGTTTTACTCTTCTTCCTGTGCTTTACGAGATTAAAAGATTTATGCGTATGAGGAAGCATTCACTAATCTATTAAATATGTAAGAAGTCATACTACTGGGGAGTCTTGTATAAGGAAGGTGAAAATATCTTCAAGTCTTTCAGAATTCTTAGAAAACTTATTGTCCAGTGGGTGCTCCTATGGCTGTAAAATATGAGAGACTCTTCAGTGTCACTTCTTTCTTAAGAAGTGACCTCACATTCATAGAGACCTCATGTGTGAGAAGCCAGCTTTAAGTTCATTCCCTTTTCATTTGTAGCACATGGCTTTGGGAAAGCATCCAAATGTTATTCTGGGTTCATATAGATAAATAGACACACATACCATAGACTCATTAAACCTACTTGTATTTTGGGAGGGTTCTATTTTATTGTAATTTCTTTCTATGAACTCCCATTTTGAAAATTTTTATGCTTTTACCTATTTCAGTAGTAAATAGTATATATATAGAGAGAGACTGATTTTTTCCCAAGAGAAATGACTGACATGTTTGTAGAGGCTGACAAGTTGTAGCACTTAACTTCAGAGGCTAATTAATCATATCAGCAGATATGGCAGGCTATTGGTCCATGGAATCAAAAAGGTAAGAAGTCAGATACATGATGGAGACCAAGCAAAAAGCAAGCCAGCTCTACCAGAGTTCCCTGTATGCTCAATGCAGGCTACACCCATGATGAGATTCCCTTCAACTGACTGACAGCTCATAGCAAATCCCATCAAAGGAGTGATTACATCAAGAGAATGCTCACACTACAGCCAGAGAATCCCAGGCGGCAAGGCTGACACTACTCCAGTAGTTTACCCCTTTTCAACTTGACACTTGTACATATCTCCTTAAACTATAATCATAAATACAGTTATAAAATCATACTTGGCTACACCTATGGCCATGTATAGATTTGGCAATGATATATTTTTTTTTAATTTTTTTTATATTTTGTGTGTGTGTACTGTCAAATCAGATCTGACTAGTACAGGAGGAGATTGCCCCTCCTTCTCCAGCAGAGCACCTGGTTTATCCGAACCATGTACCTCTGGGATTGCAATGCAGTTTCTTGCCACTAGGCCACCAGAGCTCCCCAGCAATATTTCTACATCCATATGAGCTGTGGTGCTGGAGAAGAGTATTGAGGGTACCATGAACTGCTAGGAAAATAAACATATTCATCTTGGAAAGGGTTAAACTGGGCGGTTCCTTGGAAGCAAGGATTCTGAGGCTCCATCTAACATACTTTGGACATGTTGTAAGGAGGGAACAGGCCTTGGAGAGAGACATCATACTTGGGAGGGTGAAGGGAGGGCGCAGGAGGGGAAGGCCCTCTATGAGGTGGATTGATTCAGTGACTGAGGTAACGGGGATGGGTGTGTTGGAGGATTGGCATAGGACAGAGCAGAGTTGAGGGCTGTTGTACATAGGGTCACTATGAGTCGCAAGCGACTCGATGGCACATAACAACAACAAGAAGTATACGTGTTACTTTGTGCCATCAAGTTGACATCAACCCATAACTGATCATCAAGCTGGTTTTCAGAGACAGCGATTGGGTTAGAGGAGACTGTCCATCCTGTGGAGCAACTGGGGGATTTGAAACACTGCCTTGGGAATTACAGCGTAGCTTCTTACTGCTTGGTCACCAGAGCTCATGTGGTGTGTGCACGCACATGCTTTAAATACATCCATGTATAACGAAAAAGATCATTACAAAGAAGAATGAAGACCAAAATGGATGTTAGAAGAGACTGAATATTGCACTAGAGCAAGAGAAGCCAAAGGCAAAGTGAAGACAAAAAAGGAGTTCAGTAGAAGATTTCAAAGGGCAGTTCAGGAAGACAAGGCAAAGTATTAAAGTGAAATGTGCAACAAGCTGGAGTGGGAAAATCAAAAGGGCTGTACTCTTAAACTGACGGAACTTAAGAATAAATTAAAGCTGCAAGTTGCAGTGCTGAAGGATGTCATGGGCAGAATACTGAATGACTGAAGATTCATGAAAAGAAGATGGAAGGAGTATACAGAGTCATTGTACCAAAAAGAAGGAGCTGACAGAATTGACAAGAGATGACAGATGATCAAGAGGCAATGGTGATGAAGGAGGAAGTTCAGGTTGCCCTGAAGGACTTAGCAAAGGGGCTTGGCAAAAAAATAAAGTCCCAGGAAATGATGGAATACAAATTGATGTATTTCAACAAACAGACGCTGCCCTGGATGTGCTCACCATGTTGTGCCA